ATGAAGATGAGTCACTGAGAGTTGCCTTAGTGAAGTGTTCTAAAGATTCCTCAGATCCTGGAGGTTCTCAAACTGCTGCTAGGAATGCCGTCACACTCCTGAGACCCAAGGTTACTGCTTTGGTTGGTTTCTGCTACAGTCCCAGTCCTGAAAAAGCCCAGCTAGGAGATGTGGTGATATCCTCAAAACTTACAACAGATTGTCACCAAACCCCAGTGAGTAGAGATGTTGGTAAACTTGTCAAAACTGCGGCTTATGGATGGAAGGCACCATTAGAAAACCCACAAGCACAAGAAGTCAAGGTCAAAGAAGGAGAGATTTTAAGTTGCTCTGATATGAAGGGTGCTGAACAGCAGTGTCAATCACACCCTGGGGCAATTGCAGTTGAAATGACAGGAAAAGGTGAGAATAACTATCAGGGTTACAGTAGCCTGGCATCTGCCTTCATTAAAGACAAGATTATTTTGCAATAAACCAGAATGGATTTTTGTCATGTTTAGTGAGAGTTAATGTAATACCAGGGTCACTCAGACAAGGCTGGCCCAACCCAATTTCATAAAAGGGTTCTAAAAACACCACATTCCTAAAACATCCTCCAATGACAAAGGAAAGTTAAAAGACTGAAAAGTGTTTACAGAAAAAAAAAAAGGGAAGCCTCTTGATTATCTTCTGGAAATATCATTGCTTCAATCCATTCCAATTGTTATTGCTTATCCTTTTTTAATTTTTCAACCTCAGGCCTTTTTGCAGCAGCTCATGACATGAAGATGGAGTGGCTTGTCGTTAAAGGTGTTTGTGACTTTGTACATGGCAGTGGATTTACTAAGGATTCATGGAAGACTTTTGCTTGTGTAATGGCGGCCTCTGTTGTATCTAACATTTTTGGTGACTCTTCAGTGTTTGAAGTCTGGCCTCATTATGGAAGTATGTTTATGTTTATGATATACTACTCTGGTCTTGTCTTCTAAGACATCTGGGAAATTGAAAGTTTGCCTTTGTAAGAGATATCTCTATATCTCATACCTTTGCATGAGATATCTTTATAGAACATTGAAATTAACAGTGAAATGACTGCTTGATTATGTTAAAATTTATTCATACATCTATTCCTCCAAAAAGATTTTAATTCTTCAAGTTGATGAATTTCAATCTGTTCTTCTTTTAATTTTCTCACGATTGTGAGGTGCCATTTTTATCTTCTTCCAACAGTCTTTTCAATTCTTACTTGTTACCCATTAAAATCTGTGAAGTTTATTTTACTTTTAAAAGTTTGATTTAATATTCCTCTTACAGACAATTTAGCGAGAGAGGGGAGTGGGAATAGTGATGATTCTTCTAATTGTGAATGCAAAAGGGTGGCAGGTATTTTTTTTTCTTTTGTGGTAATTTCTTATTTTAATTTTTTTTTTAAAGGTTTTTTCATTTCTCTTAAGATATTTTAATCTTCCTCCAGCACTCTTTTCAATTCTTACTTAGTATCCAATGTATATTTGCGAAGTTTTTTTTTTTTTAACCTTTTAGTTCACTTTGATTTAATTTTCGCCTTACAGACAATGTAGCTAGAGAGGGGAGTGGCAACAGTGATGATTCTTCAAATTATGAACGCAAAAGGGTAGCAGGTATTCTATTTTTCTTTTTTGGTAATTTCTTATTTCCATTTTTTTTCACAGTTTCTTCATTTGTCTTAAGATATTTTGATCTTCCTCAAGCGTTCTTTTCAATTCTTACTTGGTATCCAATTTATATTTGTGAATTTTTTTTTTACTTTTTAATACAGTTTGATTTTATTTTCCCCTTACAGACAATATAGCCAGAGAGGGGACTGGGAACAGTGATGATTCTTCAAATTATAAACGCAAAAGGGTGGCAGGTATTTATTTTTCTATTATAGTGCTTTCTTATTTCCATTTTTTCTTCACGTTTTCTTCATTTCAGAACATGGGTCTTCGGTGATATTGTCGATTCCATCTACTCTTTCACGCACGTGATAAAAAAACTTGTTCTGTTGGCCTATCAAACTTTAGTGCTTCACTCAATGTTTTGAAATGCCGATTTGTCGCAAATTGCACTCGAAATCATGTGAATACCTGTACAAATGCGAGAGAAATTGAAATTTCAGCTTTTTTGTTGTGTCTTAACAGAATATTCTCCAGAAGAAACCTTTGATGTGAAATCCTGTAGAGATAAACTTGCAGAGCATTATAAAAGAACCGCCACGGTGCCCACTTCTGTGTGGTCCAAAGCATGTCCCGTGAAGATTGACCAAATTTACACTAGACTCTCCGTGGTAAAAGAGGAACCAGCCCCGTCTGGGTCATCACACTCAAAGCTGAATCACTACACTGAGCTTTTCATTGATGGCGAAGGAAACACACAAAAGAGAATACTTGTTCAAGGGCAGACTGGAATTGGAAAGACCACGTTTGTGAAGAAAGTTGCTGTGGACTGGGCAGAACTTAATGACGAGAACACTGAACTCGACGTGAAGCTTGCAGAGAGTCCAAACTACGAAGTCGAGTCAAATGACGGATCAGTTAAAGGCTTGGACGAAATTCAGAAGCAAGTCTTAAAAAGATTCGAACTTGTTCTCTTGGTTAATCTGAAGGAAGCTTCCAAATGCCAAACGCTCGAAGAAGTCTTGTATCATTGCAATATTTTTCCTGAAGAAGACTCAGCTTTGGTAGATGAGATGCTAAGTTATATCGCGAAAAATCAAGAGAAAGTTTTGCTGATGTTTGATGGCTATGACGAGTATGGTTGTGGACGAAACTCCGAAATCTTCGACATATTTAGAAGAAAGAAACTGAGAAGTTGTTGTGTCTTGATAACAACTAGAATCTCCAAAGCGGACGAGCTTCGAGAGTCTAAGGATGTTTATGCCGAGGTCACCGGGTTCAGCGAATGGGACAGATTTTCCTTTATGTGCCGATTTCTTGGCAGTGAAACAGAAGCAGAAGAGCTGATGGGTCACCTAGTTAGAGAAAATTTGACAGATTTAGCAAAAATTCCCCTCCTGCTCCTCTTCTTTTGCACTTTGTGGAAAAAAGGTAGAGTGAAGAGCTTCCCTGATACCAAAACGAACCTTTACCTGGCGATTGTCCAATGCATTGTGGATTATAATCAAGGAAAGAGTTCTCCTGCCCAGTTTAGCAAACTAGAAGACCTCCAAGATATCCTAGCTGAGATAGGAAAGGTGGCGTTGGAGTGTCTCTTAGAGGACGACCATGTATTTGAGTATGATCAACTCTCCACCGCCATCCTTTGTGAAGAAAGTCGCATCATTGGTTTACTTCAAGTTACTGAGTACTCAGAAAATCTTCGACCAGCAGGAATGGTGTCCTTTATCCACAAGAGTATACAAGAGTTTCTAGCAGCGTGGTATATCACCTACAGATGTATCCCTGAAAAATGTCTAGGTGGAGTGGAGAAACATGCTCTCACTTTGGAGAGTTGTGCCGCCTGGGAGAATGTTTTTCAGTTCATTTGCGGTTTGTCTAATGATGGAGCAGTCGTAGTCCTTGACCATTTCACCTCTGTCAGAATCGCTACACCAGATCTGGATTTATCGAAGACGGTATTAGATGTAGAAAGCAATACAGACCCACCGTTTAATGACTTAACTTACAGGCAAGTCATGTTCAATGACCTGGTTTTTAATTCTCTTCAAGAGGTTCAGTCAAAAGGTGAACTCTTACAACGCTGTTTTTATTGTCTCGGGAGTGTCATCTTGGTTACAACATCACTTTCTCGCCTTCTAGAAAAGATGGAAAGGGAGACTGTCGGAAGAGTTACAAATTCCACTGTTTTCGTTTACGAATCTTCCCTCCGAGTCCCAGTGTGGGCACTTTATCGTTTGGTAAAAATTCTCCGTTGTCCGCAAAGTTTTGAGCTTCTGACAGTTGAAAAATTTTTACAAATGTTAACAGATGATCGAACTCCAGTTTTCTGCAGTAATTTCCGTTGTGAGCTTTTTTTCCGTAATGACGAGCTTCAGTTTTACTTTACGAGATTGACTGTAGAATGTAGTGAGTTTGTAGAACTGTTCAATGCAAGTTTTGGGGCGTCTGCCTCATCTGGCTCGGAAGATACTGGTATAGAAAATTCAGCTGTGAAGTTTTTGAGATCCTTTCAGTGTAACTGCATTCTGGAGGAAAAAGCAAGGGAGGCGCTGGGGGTGATAATCAGACACTGCAAAAGCTTGAAAAGGATTAGATTCCCAGGTAAGGGATACCATGTCAGCGAAATTTTAAAACAGGTGCCAAACCCCAGTGAGTGTTTTGTGCAACTCGGCGCTACTCTTGATCCGCTTTTTGACGAACTGCACTTGTCGACGGCAGAGATAGAAGAGCTTGCTAAGTTATTGCCAAGATTCCACAACATCATTAATCTTTGTGTGAAGTTTTTTCCATGGACTACAAAAGCAATAGACACATTAGTCACCAGTTTAACGCATCATTCTTTTGAAGTACTTATATTGAGAGGAATACAGCTGACTTCTGCAGTGGTTAGAGCTCTCGGCCGGTCGCTTCCAGACATGTCATCCTTACAAGTTTTAGAACTAACCGGGTCGGGTCAAAGAATGTCGGAAGAGGAGGACATGGAGAGGTTGTTCGGTGGATTTTACAAAACGATGCCTTTGCGCATGTTCGCTTTTACTGGTTTTAGTATCGAAACCTGTATTGTCTCGATCAGCAAATGCTTCAGCTTCTTCCCNCGTAACTCGTGCGATTTGCTGAAGAGTTTGAGATTTGTTCCTCATCTAGAATTGCTTGTCGTTAAGGGAAACCAGCTGAAATTCAATGATTGCTTCCTGAGAAGACCTGACTCAGAGGGAGTCACGCTCAACTTTCTTAAGAGACTGGAACTGGATGGAATAACCATGACATTGAGAGTAGCTAAGGTGCTTGGACTTTTACTTCCAGAAATGTCAGCATTAGAAACGCTAGCGTTAACTGGGGTGGAAGGTAGTATTTTAGAGGAGAATCATCTGGAGGCTCTGTTTTCTGGGCTCAACAATATAATGTCTTTGAGGAGTCTTTCTCTCCGCGGCTTCAGCATGACACGTTGTCTCATTCCTGTCTCCAAAAGATTGCACTACCTTTCTAGTGTAACCGAGATAACTTTTGACCAGTTGCTCATAGATGAGTGTAAATTATGTAGTTTCCTGAAAAGCTTAGGTCTGATTCCCTGTCTGCAGCATCTCAACTTAAAGATTCAGTCTCAAAGTACCGCCGATTGCTGCACAAGGGAAGCGAACAAATTCGATTGTTTGAAACTAACTTCCCTCCAACAATTGAATCTGAAGGGTGCATGCGTGACCCCATTGCTGGCGAGGCTGCTTGGGCGTTCCCTTCCAGAAATGTCTTCATTAAACACTTTGGAGATAATCGGGATGGATAGCATTTTGCGAGAAGAGGATTTGGAGTCACTGTTTGGCGGGTTTAACAAAACAATGTCTTTAACTTCCCTAACTTTCAACAATTTCAGTGTGAAAGGATGTCTTGCTCCTCTGACCAGAAAGTTGCGTTTCCTTCCCAGCCTGAAATATCTCGACCTCAAGATGCTAAACTTGGATTGTCTTGACCTCTGTAGTGTACTAGAAGCCCTTCGCGAGACCCGTGGTTTACAAGTACTGACACTTTCAAGTGAACAGATTGTTTATGAAGTGACACGTGTCGTACAACGCCTCTCCAATCTACTGACAGGGTGCTGGGTTGTCATTGATGGAACAGCTTCTGAAGATGTTTTGAGGGAAGTTAGAGATGCCATTAAACAAACACGACCTGACCTAGCTAACGGACGTAGTATAAGATTTAAAGTTTTTCATCATTCTAATACGGCAGAACATCAAGCCAGTATGTAAATATCCCGTTATTCCTGAGTCTGTAGAAAAGATGCGAAGGGCAGTAAAAGACCTGCTGGGTTGATGGTAGGCACGGTGAAATCAGGATGAAGATCTACAGGTCCAAACCCTGGCTGCATTGTTTGTGCTGTGTTTTCTATCCCAGTACCTTTTATCGCCAAGGAGAAACGGTTTGCCTTGCCCATTCGGAATTGCCCAGATTGGTTACGGCAAAAGAACAAGAATGTTTGAGGGCATACACGTTGTGTATAACTCGTGGGCCCCTTTTTTTTAAATTAGAAAAGGTTTCTTCGAAATATTACAAATATGAAGGCGAAATACGCGGAGATCACATATTGAAGACAGTCAAACTATTTTTAAATGGAAGCAAGAAGCTGAAAGAAAGGAACTCATTGTTCAGCGACAGAGACACAACTCTAGAGTGACAAGTTATATTTTGTACCAAAGTGCTGCCGTTAGATACTTACATAGACGAACATATTTAGGCAATGATCTCAATGATTTCTATTTTCTCACTTCAAACGTCTGAAATCGTAAACAAAAACAGGATAAGACAGTTAACCGAAGTAACTGAAAAATACAGCTTCGAGGTAGTCAATGAGAAAATTTTCTGTAGTTTAAACAATGCTAAGCATTAATCATGTGGTTTTTCACTTTGACAACGCTTTTTATCGAAATACTGACTGATACCATTTCATTTGTCAGAGAAACTAAGAACTTGCGACCTTCTTGACACTGGTGAGGTGTCATCGATATTTGGTTAAGTCCAAGGCGACGAAGAATTTTTACATACACCCAGTGAAACGTTAACCATATTTCAAATTTTACAAAATAGGTTATGTGTAGTTTGTTGTTAAAAGCAAAAATATCTACAATCCATTCCGTGTCCATCATTGTTGTTTGCCTGTGGTGGGAGATTTTTGATATTACACGAGATGAGCGACCGTTTCTGCATTGCAATGAAGGTAGTTGCTCAAGAAAAGTGGCATAACGTGATTTCAGCAAAGATTTCTGGGAAAAAAAAACCAGATTGAAACTTTTGTAAATGTTGCCGGAGATAGCGTCCTCCTCGTTGAAACGGGAGGAAGTGGAACCCAGCCCCCCCTCTCCTCCGCTCCTTAACTCAACTTTTCGATTGTTATAACGTCGCCTATGCCAGACCACAAATTCACCGAATTATTGTTAGATCCTATGTAATGCGAAGCGTGCTTGAAGCCCCAAAACGAGTGGTGTTTGTGGAGATGTAACACAGACAGCTTGTTGTAATTTCAGCGTGTGTAAAGCCAAACACCTTAGTTACTTGCAAATCCATGATAGCGAACGGTTGCTAAACCTCTCGGAATATATGTCGGCTTTGCGCATTCCCAGCCGTGATTAAGAAAACTTTACACACAACAACAGGCTCTATTTGGATCTCTAAACCAGGATATTTAAATATGGAAAAATCGGTTTGAATCTAAGTACAGCGGAGCCCGCATGGGGATATGCTGACCCATAAAGGTGAAAACATTAAGTTGTGACTTGTCTGTACGTCCATCCGTACGTA